TGAGGACGATTGACAGTCACGTACTACAACCCACGGCAGCTTATTTGTACAATTCCTTAAAACCAGGAATTGGAATTTATATAACCTTGTGTAGTTTTACTACATGTTTTATTTATTTGTTCATGCAATCTTTTTTTGGCCACAGGACACTGAGGATAGAGTTCTATATTCTTAAAGATTGAGCTACGTCAGGATCCCATGATCCCCCAAACGTTGTAAGGACAAATACAAACAAGGACAGGCAATGAATATTCAGATTAACACCTCTGTTTTTCTCCGCGCTAACACCCCCCCCCACGTTAAAGAACAAATCTATTGTCTTCTACTGACTTCCTGTTCCTGTCCTGTCTTTGAGAATACATTATGTAAGACTCAAGTTGGGAGAATGGCTTATTTGCATATCATTCATCCAGTTAAAGTTTTACTGGTATAATAAAGTCGTTATAACCCTCACATAAACAGACCGATTACAGTTTTGTAAAATGTTATTTGTAGTAAATTATATGGAGATTATGGCAGCACCTTTTATAACTGAATTATACTTCACCTATCGGTCATGTACATGCATGTTTGCATTTTTCACGGTAATTTCAGGTCGTTGGCTACCATTAAAATAAATGATAAGTTTTATTTTATGCTTTTTTTTTAATTATATCGGGTTTTCACAAAACGAACGGGTCAAACAACCATTGGCTGTTTTTTGTCGTGAATATTAATTTATGCAAATGAGGTGAGTATTTCAACCAATCGTGTTATGCGACCACGTTCAAAAACTAGTACATGTATTTTCAGTAAAACTGTCAAAATGCTTTCTTATAACCAACACGATAGTTATAAATTGACTGATTCTATCATTACGAGCTGAACAAAAAAATTGAAAAACTGATGTAAAAGTATTTTTTGAGACACGTTTTTGACGTCTCCAGCAAACTGTTGAATGTAACCACAGTTTTTTTTTACATAATCTGATCATAGCAAGTACTATTGCTCAAAATGTTTTCAATAACTTTCACCAGCGACAAGTTACCTAATTAGTATGTATTTCGAGAAATCACTTTGTGAACGCAATAAAATCACGCATAGGACTCGACTCCAGCAAGAAACTAGTGTCGTCACCCCCCCCCCCGTCAAACTAGTTGTCGTTTCAATTGTTTTTCAATAAACATAATTTTAAAGCCTGTATTTTTCTACGTGATGTTTCCGTATTTCGTTGAGAATTATTCTGTCAAGAAGTCGCTGAAATTATTTCATCTGTTAGAAAGAGGGACATTGTTGCTTCGACGAGTGACTTCAAAATGTTCCACCCAGATTGGACATCGCCCTCTTGTGCCAATCCCCCTGCAGTTACCGGCCTCTTGTTGCTTGGCGCGCCATGAAACTTGAGGCGGAACATCGACGGAAACCAGCCAAGACGAACGTCCTGTTAAATTGCGCCCTCAACGTCAATTTTAGTGAAGTTACGGCTGAGCATAGTTTATGATTTCAGTACCGGTTTCGAGTCAAGTATGACAAACACAAAACAAAAGCCGCTATTACATTTCCAAAAATATACAATTTATTTAATTTATTAAATATTTGAATACGTAATTGTTATTGTATTTACTTTATTAGTAAAATTTTTTACGTATTTGCTTTTCGAAAAAGTTGCCTACTTGTAGCAACATTGTTGCGCTTTCACATCAAAATGGCGCTCAAAAGGAAAGTTGGTGTCGATGATATCGGCGAAGCAAGCAGTTTTATGAACTCACCGCAAATGGAAAGAAGTCGAAAACTTTACCACAAGGTATTTGATGTCAATAATTATTACATGCATCTGTTTATTGTTTTTTGTACAGCTGCGGCGAAAAACATGTCATAATTTTGCTCATTGATTGACGTTAATCGTGTTCAGAAAAGTACAAATGTACTCAAATTGCTTTGTTGCGTTTGAGAACATGGATGTATTAATAATATTAGCACAGTCAAGCACTCAATGACTGGATTTAAACAGTGGATATCATTAATATGATTCCGTCATATATATATATATATATATATATGTGAATGTACAAAATAAAATATGAGATTTTCCGAAAAACTTTTAAGCTACAAAGTATAGTCATCGAAACTTGCTATTATCAGTTCTGACGGAGACTTTGCTATCTTGTTAATAAACTGTTCGTTTACAAATTCAGTATTATGATCTGAATTTGCCAGAGTGAGTGTTACTTTAAGAGACATTTTTAACATTTTGGTTATTTCAATGTTAATGCCTTTAGCATCAAAGAGAGAAAGTAGTTTATTACGATATAAATAGGCAAAATAATGCTTACACCAATTCTTATAATCATAGTGCAAAAAGCGAAAATGTCATTTCACATGGGTGTAGCACTTCAATCTAAGAGTGTAAATAAACCATATCAGCTTTATATTCACTACTATTAGAGTTTCTTGTCACAAAGATAGAATCAGATCTTTCACTATGAACTCAACCAGTTAATGTAGCAATAGACAAAATAAAAATGTTACCACCCTGGCAAGATTTTGTTAAAATTGGTATTTCATGAAGTTTCAAGGCTACAAATAAAAGTATGGACTGTTTCTTTTTAACAATCATGGTCACTTTTTTTGGTGTAGTTAGATAGGACTACCACTAGGGTATTTTTTTTTAGACATTTCTAATAAATTTTACCAAGATTACAAAAATGGTAAACGGAAGTTTTGTCCACCATTTTCCACCCTATACTTTTCGGCCACATGTTTCATATCTAAGAATCATTATTGGTAGTTGATGTACATCACTTCGGTTTATAAATTTGACTCAAGATGGCTGACTGGTGGCCATTTTGTTTTTGACAAATTCTATCAGTGTTCTCCCCAGCATTCAATTTGTGTGCGGGGCCGCCACGCTGCTTTTCCTGCCCGCCACTGTGGTCTCGAGCCACCACGGTGATTAGTAAGACCGCCACAGTGCTTTTTTCATTGTTCATCCTGTGAACTGTATTACGAAATATAGAAAGAAATACATATAACATAGCTATCAGGGATCTTGCCACGCTTCCGACAGGACTATTGTCCGACGTACCGACCGACACGCATCCTGCCAGTCGTGGATTATAATTTGTGGTAGTGGCTTATAAACAATACAAGTTAATTTTGTAAAATTAGCACCTCTTTGTTCGTAAGTAAATACTTTAACGATCGATGCAGTCTTTAGATTGAAAGCTAACATTTTTTCTAAATCAATTCCACCCCGATATAACATGGGCAAAGCGGAGTTCATGATCTGTTTACGCTACTCAAGAAAAAAACGTGTTTATTGCGTGATTGGGTAAAATACATTTGAACTTTTATCATCGCGAATCATGTAAAAACTCTTCTTTCAAGACTTCTTCTACCTTTTAAAAATTGCTTATCACCTATTTCGAAAA